GAACTCTTAAAAAAATCTCACACTACCATCATTTGATTTTTGTCTTTCAATATTTTCATTTTGTTACCCTCAAAAAACCAAAACAAATGAAGGACCTAGCAAACTTTTAGGTGGTCAATGCAGAATTGTCTAAACATTACTATTGAAAAATTAATATAATTTGTATGTTTTTAAATGAACAACAAATATTTATTGAATACACAGATGCCTTAAAATGCTTCTCTTTTCATAATGGGAATCAATTATAATACATTTTGTCAAAATTTTAATATACTTTAATAAAAGTATTCAGAATCTTAAGGATGTTTTCTGGCTTCCAGTGAATTTCTTACCTTTTATAAAAACAAAATAAGAAAAGGGATATAATTTTAAGAAAATATACTACTAAAAAGTATACACTATGTCTTGAGAATGTCAAAATGTGGGTGCTCTGCATTGCAAACTATGGGAAAATGATATAGTTTAAATGTTATACTATAAATATTAACTTGAAAAACAGGCATCATCCATACACATCACAATATAGGTCCTTGCTTTGTTAAGTAGGTCCTGTCTTCTGTACTCCTTCGGCTCCAGATTCCTACATCCAACTGCCTATTTTACTTCTTCACCTGGATGCCTAATTAACATATCAAACTTAACAGTTCCATAGAAAATTTAATTTTCATTCCTCAATCCTCAGCTTTCTTTGTCTCAGCAAATGGTTCCTAATTTGCCTGGACACTTGAACTCAAAAATTGGACTCATCCTTGATTCTACTCATTCCTTCACTCCCTCTCCCTAATCTAATGAGTTTTGTAGGCTTTCCTTCAAAATAGGCACCAAAGTAGTATAATTGTTTCCAGCTCTTCATTTTTATCAAATCCCCTGATGGGAATAAAATCCATCTACAGAGATGCTGAGACCTGCTCAGCGGGCGGCCCAGCTGCACTCCCCTTCTCCTCAGACATTCAGCCTGTGTCCCCTGTGGGCCTCTTTCCTTTCAGTCCCTCTGCCACGACTGCAGGCCCCAGCTCCCCGTCCGGCCCGCTGGCCGCGCCCTAGCTCACAGTGCGCCTCTGCGGAGCCGCCCCGGACCCCGCCCGCCGGCCGCGCCCTCGCTCACGGTGCGCCTCTGCGGAGCCCGCCCCGGACCCCGCGCCCGCTGGCCGCGCCCTCGCTCACGGTGCGCCTCTGCGGAGCCGCCCCGGACCCCGCCCGCCGGCCGCGCCCTCACTCACGGTGCGCCTCTGCGGAGCCCGCCCCGGACCCCGCCCGCTGGCCGCGCCCTCGCTCACAGTGCGCCTCTGCGGAGCCGCCCCGGACCCCGCCCGCTGGCCGCGCCCTCGCTCACCGTGCGCCTCTGCGGAGCCGCCCCCGACCCCGCGCCCGCTGGCCGCGCCCTCACTCACGGTGCGCATCGCATCGTTCGCCGTCGCCTCGTCCTGTCTTGTTTCTGCGTGACATTTGTGACTGTCTGTGATGGCTTTTCTTCACGTGTTTGCTGGTTTGTTTCCTCCCCGCCCCGTGGATAAGCTCCACGCGCAAAGCAGCCTGATTTGCCCCGTGTGTGCTGCCGCCCCAGTCCACACTGCCACCCGAAGGAGTGAGTGAGAGGCGTGTGCGACCCCTCCCTGGGCACATCCCCATGGACGATGGCTGCGCTGCAGGCAGTCACTATATCTGAGTAAGACGCGAAAGCAGGGCTCCCCCAGAGCCGCGGGTGTCCCGAGTTCCACCACATTCCTCCTGCTCAACAGCAAAGGCAGTGTGAGTGTTAAGAACAGAGACTGTGTAAAGGCACTTCAGCAACATAGACAATTCAGACGATGGAAAGTGGGAAAGAGCTGCTTGCCTAGTCTCAGGGGAAGAGAAGAACTATTCATCTCTCTGTGACTAAAAGGAATCAGTCTCTCTGGCCTTTTTAAGAGTAGTGCTGCTGCCAGCAGTTTGAAGAGGCACATCCAACGTTTATGCCAAAGGAACTTTCGTAACTGGAGTTTTGAAAAAAGCAGCAGGGAGGAAGGGTTTGAGGGATGGGAATGGATAAGTGCTTCTGGCCAAGGCAAGCCAACTCTAGGGATTTTTATGCAACTACCTATAAACTCTCAATTCACACTGGAACTTTCACCTAAAGGTAAATCTCCTTTGGAACATATAATACTACTTACCCTGCAGTTGACAGCAAATCTGAATTTATTTACAGAAAATGTGGTTTTGCTTTTTTAAAAATTTAAATTAAGGATTACTTTTAAATAATTGTCTGTGGGGCTTCACACCATAGCTTCTGAGGCCTTCAGTTGTGGTTCCCTGGGGGTGAAGACGGCACCGCCGCCGCCTGGAGCCCTCTGAGCCCGCCGGGCGCAGGCCCTGCCTCCTTCCAAGGCCAGGTCGTGGGAAGAAATGCTGGACAGCAAGGCGTCCTTGAAGGGACAAGATGTCATGACAGAATGACTTCCTTCTTTTCTTAATTTTTAATGCCAAAACCCGCATGTGCTCATTTTGAGTGAAGTCAACAAAAGGGGATGAGGTGGTACAATGCCTATCTGCCTTAAAAAAAAAATTAAGCTGTCATTCGGGTAAAGCTATAGTTATTTCCCTCTCTCCTCCTCAATTTGCATTCACATAAGCATTTAGAGATTATTTCCTAAACCTCCGCTTTTCTTCAAAGATATTTAGTGAAAAGTTAAAATTAAAAATTAAATTATTAATAATTAAAAAGCAACCAAATATTGTTTTAAATTGTCAGCTCTCTCAAATTCTCTGAAGCTATATTTTCCTAAAATTAGTGCAATATAAATTCAGAGAGGTAAAAAGAATATTTTATTCAATAAAAAATATTTTTAAAATCCTGAGAAAAATGTATAGCCAATATGAAAAACTATTAATGCCTTTATTATATAAAGTGAGAATTCAAACAGATAAGGTAAAACATTATATGCCAAACAGATAAATGAGTAAAAGACTCAGAAGAGATATTTCTAAGGGGAAATACAGCTAAGAACTATCTCACCTTGCCAGTAATCTTAACAAGGAATATTAATGTTTCCAGTCTATAAAATTATAAATAAAATTAAATAATAATTTTCCAAATTAGAAAAAAAATGGAAGTATCTTTTGTTCAAACAAAATGTTTTTGAGAAGCCCAAGCAAATAGGTAGGCCTTAGAGATTGGCCTGCTTTTTCTCCTATCTCCACCTTTCAGGGACTTTTGAGGGGGCTTAAAGGAACTTCTAACTTTCCATGAAGTACTATTTTTGTTAATACCCAGCACTGATAAAACACTGGGCCCTGGGCATACTCCGAATTGTGAGAGTCTAAATCACTTAAACCACTTTCAACAGCAATCTGGAAATATGCCATAACAAAAAATCTCAAAAATATCCATTGACTTTGATAATTTACATTCACTTCTGAGACCTTGTGTTAGCTATACTGCATTAAGATACTAATTACAGCATTAATTAAGTTGGTAAAATTTTGGAGGAAATACATGCATGCATTCAACCACACTTACTGAGTAAATGACCTTGCACAAGCTGATGTCGCTATGAAAGGAAACAGGAATGACAGGGCTCACAAGTTAGAAAGAAGATGAAGAATTTCATTTGGTAGTGCCTACCTTGTACTAAAGCCAGAACTTCATCTGAAGGTGGCTTTAGTCTTATGGAGGGCACCAATTGCTTAAATGAACCTAGTCCACATATCACATTACCAAAGAATACAAAGAAAACTAGAAGAGAAAATATATGAAGTTGTAGCAATATTATTTTTCAATTTGGCCTCTTTACGTAACAATCTTTATCTGAAGTAACATCTCCATGAAAAGAAAAAAGTTTCAAAAACCTAAACCATTTTTCTGGAACTCCATTTCTTGGCCGTGGATCTATGGAATCTCTGCTTATTAGCACTCTAGACAAAGAATGAAAACGAATGGCTTCTGGCATGAGGGTTAGGAGGTAGACTAGCGGGCTCTCTCTGGTAAACTCCAAGCTCAAAATGAAAGAAAGCATTTTGTAAGTCAGATCATCCAATTTCACATTCTTTTCTGTGTCCGTCTTCCCTATGTAAGCCCATATCCTTAATAGATCTTATGTAAATACCTCCAGCCCAGTCTCAGTGGTGTGCAATTAATAAAAGAATTATGTGTCCACATTTTAGCCTGAGAGAACAAGCCATCCCAGCCCACCATCTACACCTCACACAGGTGTGGTGATGGCAGAGGTGACAAGGGAGAGATCTCGAGCCTGCCGCAGGTGGGTCTCCAAGGCCCCTGTGCCCTCTCTTGAAGGGGCTGGTGTGGATTTAATGAAAGAAACAGTCACTCCATCATAGCCTAAGGAAATCATAAAGTTAAAAAATAAGAATTTGGAGGGATAAATGAGTCTAGGAAAAGCAGAAGAACTTCAGAGGGTAAAAAATCAAACCAATAAAGACAAAGTTCAGGCTCTCTGCTTATTTATCTATTTTTCAGATGGTGGTAACTGATCAAAAGAATGTAGAAATGATTGCGTTAAGTGTAGAGACAAGTGCAAATCAAAGAAAATTTCTTTTTAAAGTAAAACAAAACAAGAAATATCCTAATAACTTTTTCAAAAGAAAAAATATAAAAACAAGTATAATCAGTGCCATTAGTTTTTTTTCTTAAGAACAGCATTTTAAAATGTAACTGTAACCTTGGAATAACTGCTTTCTGTAAACATAGCATGTGTCTAATTCCATAATCTGATCAGCATGTTATGTTTATAGAAATTTTGATTGGCCTAAAATCAAACTGGATTGGATTATGGGTCTATCCTATCCATCTACAATACAAAGCACAACTGGATCACTCTCCTTTTATTTTCTCTGACTTGTTTTATATTATTTTATCTTGGAGTATTGCATGCATCTTTGTAAGTCAGCTAAATTATGTTCTGCAAGAAGGTGAAATATAAACAAAGAAATAAAAAATTACTTTTTCTCTCTCAATACTTATTCTTTCTGAAATACTTTTTTCCTCTGATAACAATGACTCTTACCTTAGGTTGTTTGCAAAGATAGCGACAAAGTTCTCCAATATACTGAAACACAGTCACATTGTACTTTTTGCAATCGCTCCAAAATTGGCTTGCTGAGAATTTCTTCTTTAACACACAAGTGGCACCTGTAAGAAAAGACAAACACAGACATTAGGGGGAAAAAATTCAAGGGCAGAATTATCGTGAAACACAAATGACGTTACTCTGGAACATACTTGCTCACTTTCAAATGTTTATAATTCATCATTGATCGTTTACAACGAACTCATTTAAAAACACTGATCTTTTTTTAATAAACTCCTTAAAATATCATGTTGTAATTCTATATTTTGACTGAAAATGTGCTTATTGCAATATACAAGATGAAAGTAACAGTCAAAATAAGTAGGAGAGTTGCAAATATTAAAGCATGACCATAGATAAGGGCCATGGATAAGAACATGGCTGTAGAAAGTCATGTTCCTTCCTCATAGAGACCAAGAATATTCAGTTACTTTTGACCTTGAATATATACATACTATGTATTTTTAAAAGCTTAAGGCAGCCTCAACATATCTTTAAGGTGAGGAATTAGTAAGATAGAGTTATTATGGTAGCATAAACAAAAAAGTCCATCGATAACTACAGAACCTAATTTTAACAACACAATTTTGACAATAATGTGTGTTCACAGAAAATTTTAATGTCTTGACTTTTACCTTTACTTATCATAGATATTGATCATATTCTAAATATGCTCCTCTAAAAAGTTATTTTATAGTACTTTAGACATATACGACTAGTAGCAAATGGTCTCTATTCATACATTTTAGGGTTAGCGCCTGACACACACCCTGACCTTGCATGCTCACGGATAGAGTCTACTGAGTCACAGGCTCTGCCAGCTGACTGGCTGAGTGTCGGGGAGACTGCTCACAAAGATGGCCTCAAAAGTTCCCTCTAAGCATTTACATTTGCAATGTAGATTTTCTCCTCCTCCCTTTAAGAGGTGGGGTTATTTCCCCATTCCTAGAATCTTGATCTGGGCTGGCCCTTGACTTGCTTTGATCAGTGAAATGCAGGTGAGGTAATTCATGTGCCTCCCGAGACTAGGCCTCAAGAGCCATGCAGCTTCCACATGTGCTCCCTCGGAACTCTGACAGCCATTGAAGGACGCTGGGGCAGACTGTTTGAGGGTGAGGGACCACAAGGAGAGAAGCCAGTCAATGGCCAGCTCCAGCTATATAGCCAAATACCCAGGTGACTGCTCTTTTCACTTCAAAAATATTGTTTCACTTTTTTCTTTTTTTTTCTTTTTTACTTTTTAGCTTTTTTTATTTCTTTTATTTTTTTCCTCCACGTCAAACATACAGAAAAAATACTCTGAATATGCCATAAAATTGTGTCCTTTTAATAAATACTGTGTTATAATTACATAATATGCATGCAATCACTCTCAACTCTACTGAGAGCATCAAACTTTAATAAACACTCATCCAAATTATTAAGCATTTTGAAAACTTATTAAAAAAAAAAAATAAAAACTCACCTAACTTAACACATCCACCAATTCCCATGAGAGCTCCTGAACTATGGTATAGAGGAAGGGTTATATAAATAATGTCGTCAGCAGTACAGCCAAAAGCCCAAAGTCCAGCAGATCCCTGCATAGCCTGCAGCTGAGAAACCACAGCTGCTTTTGGTAGACCTGGAAGAAAAAAAAAGAACAGGCAATATGCATGTGTATGTATGTATATATGTGTATGTGTATGTGTGTGTGTGTGTGTGTGTGTGTGTGTGTGTGTGTGTGTGTGTAATAGAAAGGAAGGCTGTGCTGGTATCAACTACTCTAGCATTGGACACAGAATACATCAAATATTCTTTATGTGCTTTGTAAAAGGGGTTGTGGTGACATTAGTAACACCACTTTGACACATTGCTGCGGAGGACAGCATCTCAAATTCTATGTAATCTTATAGTTCGATCTTTCTGGGTAAATCTAAGATTCTAGAAGTTAATTATAGCAGGAGCTCATGTTTTCTTTCAGTAGCTGTCTGATGAAGAGTATTTAGAAGGTAAGTTTTTTTTAAGTTCTCACATGTCTCAAAATATCTTTTTTTTACCCTGGCACTTAAATGATAGTTGGTATAGAATTCTAGATAAGAAATTATTTTTATGCAGGATTTTAAAGACATTGCTCTATATAACATTCTGACTTCCATTATACATGTTGAGAAATCTTTTGTCTTTCTGATTTCTTATCTTTTGCATGCAACCTGGTATTTTCATTTTTTTCTTATTGAAACTTTTGGAATCTTTTATTGGTCTATGACATGATGATTTGTACTGGCACTAGTCTTACTTACCCATTTTTCTAGGAAATGTGTAGGCCTTTTCAGTCTAGAAACTCATGTCTTATAGTTCTAGGTACTTTTTAAATTTGAAAAAAATAATTTCTGCATCCTCTTCTCTTTCCTTTTTTATTTCTGTTCTTTTTGCTCATTTTCTTCTTTGATGACATTTGTTTGTTCTTTCATCTTTGGAATTCATGTTTTTGAAGATTGGACCTCCTGAACTGAGTTATTTTCTAATTATTTTTCTATCCTATTTTCCTTTTCTTACCTTTTCATTTACTTTTTTGAGAGATTTATCTTCCAACCCTTGTGTTCTCTATTTCTTTTTGTAGTCTTATTTTTGTATTATTGATATTTTGTAGAAGTTATTAATGATAATAATTTTTTTGAAAATTTCTCCTATATAGCTTATCTCTGATTTTCCCAACACCTTTTTATCTTTTGGTTTATATTGCTCTCAATTTGATCTAGGATAGACTGGAGAAATCTAGGAGAAATCCTAGAGGTTTCCTCAAATATCTGGTTGAGGTATTGATAGTCAGTTTATATTTAAAAGTGAAGACACCAAAACACAAAACAAACAAACAAACAAACAGAATCTTAACTAGAAGTTTTGTGTGCTGAGTGGGACATATTTACTAGTCTCATTGTTCAGGGCATTTTGTTGGGGGATCCAATGCTATCAATGTTTTTCAATTTTTACATGTGGTCTATTCAGATTCCTCAGTCAAAAATCTTGAAAAGTAAAATTAGCAAATTGTTAAAGATTAGCTGTAGATGTATACAGACTTTCTTCTATGCCCCCCTATTTCTTCAACCTCTGTTCTTCCTGGGGTTTCCAGAAGTTCAGCTTCTCCAGAGAATAAAACTCAGACATTCTACCAGGGTGGACAAAGCAATCCAAGGTTTACAACTGATTCTTAAACACGACTTCCTATAAAGCTTCCTGATTATAATTCCACATTTATCTTATGCTCTTTGAGGTACCTGGTACCCAAGTGACAGAGCCGTTTTGAGGTTCTGTGGGAGCAAATCAGCTTTCATCAGGGCTTCACCTTAAGCTCCACCTTCTTGGGCCTGTTGTGTCAGTCACCGCATTAATTTATCATCACCTTTTCTACAATTTTATTGCTATCATCTCCAGTTCCATTATGTGAGTCCTGAGGGTCTATGTACATGTTCAGTCTACCATTATTCAATCTTCTAGACCTGTTTGATTAGGTGACCTCAAGAATCTCAGGGAGAAGCTGTCTGAGCCTGGCAGAGCAGTCACACCCTTATCGGCATTTTCTGGTTCATTTAACAAAGCTGTTCTAATCCTAGTATATAAAATATATTCTACTCTCCAGTCTAAAAGATTATTAAGCACCAAATAGTTTTTAAAAATAAGAAAAAATGTACTATGCAATAGTAGTTTGCTCACAATACTACCTATGCACAAAAAATTAGTAATAGAATATTTTAAATATGTCTAAGTCAAATCCCCAACCATCTTCAAACTAATTACAAAAGCCTATTTAGCCCACCATTAATACCATTTGATTTTTCCTAGGAACCAATTAAGTATAACATTTCTTTGAATTCCCAAACAATTTCATTCTTTTTTGTTGTTGCTATTGTTGTTTACCTTAAAAAGAGGAAGTTTAGTTACTTGATTCTATTTTATATCTTCTGCCAAACCTGTGATGCCTTGAAGACTTCCTGTTTGTCACATGATCCAATTCCCCTGAGGAAAATCAGAATTGCAAACTACAGGTGCTTAAATTGCAGCTATAGCTATATTATGCTTCGGATTTGACATTTTACACAGGAATATAGAGAATTGTTTTTAAGTAGGTTAATAGATTTTTTAATCCAGGGGGATAGCTAGAAACTATCTAAACTAAGTTCTTCACTATCTAAAGATATCAGAACTCTGAGAATCAGAGATGCTACCAAAGATCTTGCTTAAAAAAGGCGGCCGGCCGGGCGCGGTGGCTCACGCCTGTAATCCTAGCACTCTGGGAGGCCGAGGCGGGCAGATTGCTCGAGGTCAGGAGTTCGAAGCCAGCCTGAGCAAAAGTGAGACCCCATCTCTACTATAAATATAGAAAGAAATTAATTGGCCAACTAATATATATAGAAAAAAATTAGCCGGGCATGGTGGTGCATGCCTGTAGTCCCAGCTACTCGGGAGGCCGAGGCAGGAGGATTGCTTGAGCCCAGGAGTTTGAGGTTGCTGTGAGCTAGGCTGATGCTACGGCACTCACTCTAGCCTGGGCAACAAAGCTCTGTCTCAAAAAAAAAAAAAAAAAAAGGCGGCCAAATATTACGCACTGAACACGGGGATATAGGAAGGTGTTCAGATGTTCCAGTGAACCTTTGCACTACCAAACTTTAAGAAAATCTTTTCAAATGAGACAAAGGCCAAAGGAACATGATGACTTGTCAAATTAAAGTGAAAACAATTTAACTTTCTCTTCCAAGTTTAAAAGTTCAAGAGTCTGAGAACCTTGTCTTCTTGCATGCATGATTTCTCAGAGGGTTGGTGACTACCTGGCAGAAAGTTGCCCAATACTGTTGCTTTGCAAATTTGTTGCATCCTTCTTAAAAAGAACTGGGTCATACCTGTGGTTCCGGAGGTAAAAATATAATGACAAGTAGACCTGATGCTTGAGACAACATGGTAGCTACGTGGTATAGGCTCATCAGATGATGTGCTCAGTTTTTCTTTGAGTGAAATTACACCTTGTGGAACAGAATCTTTCATCCCCCAAACACTGATATCTTTTGGGAGGTCCGGAAGGATTTCTTCTACAGTTCCAAGCAAGTCTGAAAGCCAAAAGATTAGAAATAGGTAAATAAAATTTAAATTTCAAACTATTCACCTTGGGGTTACTTTTACATGTTGAAACAGGGATAAAATATAAATAAAACACTGATTTCCTTCTCATGTCAGATGAATAATATCACAGCTATTTTATGTTTCTGTTTCAACATGACTAAACTGAAAGGGAAATTTAGTTATCCATCACCTGATTGATCAATGCAAGTAGGTCAGTTCAGACTGAATTTTAGAAACTTCATTACCCAAATTATGTTTTTTCTCCAATTTTTTAAATAAAAGTATTTTCATACTTTAAATAGAAATTCAGGACACTGCACTAAACATTTTTCTTGAAATGCTCCTCAGTAGCTAGTTATTCCAAAAATCCATCTGTCTGTCTGTCACAACGGTAAGTTCTGCTGCAACGCAGTGTGTTTGGAAGAACCCACGACTGCTCTGAGGTCACAAGGTCATTGTGGTCCAAAGGTTACATGAGGAGATTAAGAGATGCCTTTTCTTTTCTGGATCACAATAAATAAGGATAAAAGCCTCTGAAACTATTATAAAAGAGGAAAAAGAATGCCTTCCAGCAAAGGGGCTGTACATCTACTCGCCATCAAATTGGTACTGATTGACTAAAACTATGGTGCTCAAAAAATGGTAGTGTTCAACAGGGATTTGGGGGGGGAGACCCACATCTTAAGGAAGTGGTGAGCATTGTGTGTGGGGGGAAGGGATTACCTCCATCCCTTTTAGGGAGAGATAAAGATATACATTGTAACCAAAATGCCTGAAAAAAATCTGCAATGGGGAAGTGGGCAGGGGGAAGGGGGGAGGAGGGAAGGGTACGCATTTACACGGGGGGTGCAGTGCGCACCACCTGGAGGCAGGACACGCTAGAAGCTTGGCATAGCAGGGTGGGGGAGGGGGCAGGGGCAAGATATGCAACCCTAACAATATTTGTACTCCCATAATATGAATTAAAAAAAAAAAAGAATGCCTTCCAGCAAAGGCAGTGAGACCCAGGGTGCAGGAAGGGTGTGGTGGGCATGTGAGAGTGGCTGATGAGAATGGGCCCACTGTCAGTAGCAATAAGATCCAAGGCCCAGACAGACGCAAAGTCAAGCAGAAATGACAGAAGAGAAGTTAGAATGGCCTGAAGAATGATGCTTCAGGCCCAAAGGATGTAGGAATCCTGACAAGACCAGGGTCTGGATTGAAATTCAGGGTTCAGAAAGGATAAGGGATACTTTCCTCAGGAAGTATCTGTTGCAAGGATAACAAAAGAGCAACTGTTGATGTGAGACTATGTTGAGTTAATCTGTGAGATTGACCAGACCTTCTTATTAATAATCCGGCCATTAATGTAGGAGAAGAGTCACATGCTGTGGAGGAGAGTACCGGTGGAAAGGCAGGGAGACAGAAGGGTGAGTGGGTGCTTGGTGAGGAAATATTCAGTATTAAGGTGCCCTGTACCCTATTGGGACATAAAATAAATAAATAGTCATCATTTCTAAAGTCTGTTGAGTGATCAAATGACATCACTTGGCATCACTTTTTTTTCCCTAGAGAGACACAGTTATTTATATTCTTTAAATTCTTTTTAAATTTACCACTCTCTTAATTTCGAACATGAATCTCTGACAGTGAAGTCCAACTTTTATATTCTACATAGCTGCACCAATTTTATGTTCTTATTCCTGTCATATGCTATATATGGTATAAGGGATTTCTGAATACTATAGTACTTAAAATATACAGTAACATCCTTGGTGAGACTAAACAATAACACTGCATTAGCCTTTGGGAGTTAATGCAAGGAAAGCCAAGGGTTACTTGGCAGCCACCACACGCTAAGACAAGGCAAGGAAGATTCTCTTAGATTCTTCTGAGGGAGCATGGCCCTGCAGACGCTTTTATTTTGGATTTCTAATCCCCCAGAACTAAGACAGAAGAAATTTCTCTTGTTTTAATCTACCTAGTTTACGGTACTTTATTATAGTACCCCTAGGAAACTAATACACCAAGGTCACAAGCTGGTGCAAGGCAGGGTTGGCAATCTAACACAAGTCTAAATCAGAAACTATGCACCACCTCATAACAGAAATCAATAGTAAAAAAAAATGCTGTTAAATGTAAAATAAATGCAGATCAGAATGCTCAAGTACTCTACATGCAAATATGGACATCTAAAGCAATCACATTTTTCTATTTTTTTTAAATAAAGCTTTAGAAATAATCACAGGATATATTCTGCTTTGAATCTGAATTCAGAGTACTACATTAAACATTTTCCTGGAAATGTAAATCAGCATCTGGTTCTCTCAAAAACCATCTGCCCATCATTGTTTAGTTCTACTACAAAGCAATAAATTGAGAGAAAACTCATGATTTACTTTCTCAAAATCTATAACCTAGATTGATCGCTAAGAAGTCACAAGAGAAATACATCAAATGGGACTAGGCAATTCAAAAATAAAACCTGTAAGAAACCAGAATGAAACACAAGAATAATGGGGAGTTGATATGTTGCAGGGGATGGGGATAGGAGGTTTAAAATTTTTTTATTAATCTGTATTTCTATAGCACATCCAAATAAAATAAAATGTAAGCATCCAGGAGAAAATAATTAATTCTCCTTAAAATATGCAGTATGCTGCTGTATACAGATTACTTTGGCAAGGAGGACTGAAAAACCACAAGGGATGGGGAGGCCTGCAGAGGGGAAGAGAAGTTATAAGTACAAAAAAGCAGGACAAGAAAAGGATCTAGACTTTCTCTTTGTAAATGTTAGTTCTAGATTTTGTTTTAGTGATTCTTTCTGGCATTTTGAACTTACAAGTACAAGTCACTGAATGGACTCATTTTATTACTCTAATTTCCAATCTCTCATCTGGAATGATAAACTAACAGCACAAACTTCTATATATTCTTAATGATAAGTATGTTTCAATTGAAAAAAATAAGCATTAAGCAAGTTACAGTGTGATTAATTGTGGCTCCAAATCTTTGTTGGAATTGTAGAGCCTAAACCAACAGCAAGTTTTTACAGGGTGACAACTTTTACGGCAAGAAAAAAGGAAGTGAGCAGGTTCCAAGGAATCAGAGAAATTATAATTTCATTTTCTTCACATACTAAAATTAAATTTGTTTAGCTGAGATATTTAGAGTTCTCAAATACAACTTTGCCCAACCAAATTATCTCTTCCATAGTTGTAGGAAATGTGGGTGAAGATAGTGAAAATTGAAAAAGAAATTTTAACATCATGTAGGAATAAAGAATCATGATTTACTTATCACCGCCAGCCATTCTTATAGGAGACTGACATATATTTTTTTAGTTTAAAAATTCAATTTAGTGAGTAATGTACGTGTTTTGCCCAGAGCGTTTAAAAGCAATGTGCTCCGGACAAGGTCCTTGTGATAAACAAGGCTGTTGCCAAGAGGTATAACAAAGGACCTGACTTGCCCAGCCCCACGGCAGTGGGGGTCTGGAGGCCAAACGCTAAACACATTGTTCCTGTGATCGCTGCTTGAGCCCCCTAAGATGGCTGGTTAGCCAATGACGGGTAAGACCCCTCAAGAGAGGGGCGACCCAAGCCAAGCACAGCCACCGGGGATCAGCCTAAGATCTTAGGGGATCACCCTAAAAAAAGCTGGGGATAAAAAAATGCCCCCTGTGGCTACCTTGCTCATCCTTGCTAATCTTGGTCGGTGATCCATGCCTGGCACCTAGAGCAACCACCTAAAAATTCTGAGCCAGGGGATTTATGGCCATTGCTAAAATGCCTGAGTGGTTACATACAAAAACTAACTTTAGTTTTTTAGAGTATAAAAATAAAACTGACCCCATGTATTATTACTCGAGTCAACCGTCTGCATGTGTGTCTGCGTTTCTGTGTTCTGTGTTTTTGTCTTGTGTTCTGTGTTCACCCTCCATCCTGTAAACGGGCCACGACAATTCAAATGAAATCTTTTCATGTCATTTTGAAAGTGAATTCTGAATATTGAATTCTGACCAAAAAAAAATACCATTCGTTTAAATACTTTAGGGAAACTTGACTTCGTTTCGTGAGGATTTATGCTTTAGTGAAATGTACTGCCGTGGCTACCTCTAGAACTGTGAATGTCACGAAAGAGTGACGCCTGCCCTGCTCCACCCTTCGCTCACTGCACTGCCAGGCGCCGTGCCTGCGGGTGGGCCGCTCGCAGGGACAGCTCTGCACCACGGGACCTACTGTAGACATGTGTCTTGGCGGTGAACCGCTGCAAGACAATGACACAGCTGGATTTTCTATGCTCTAATGAATCTCTCTTTTCATAGCAACATGTTCTTACAAAAATTATGTATCTCTTTTTCCCACATGCAAGGCACTGCGTTTGGTGGGGTTGTGAGTACAAAAATGGGTAAATTATGATCCCTACGATCTGTTGGCACTTTTTGAACAAACTGACTTCTTATTTCTACATATTTATACCTCTTGGCTGAGTACGGTGGCTCATGCCTGTAATCCCAGCACTTTGGGAGGTGGAGGCAGAAGGATTGCTTGAGGCCAGGAATTTGAGATCAGCCTGGGCAACATAGTGAGACACCATTTCTAAAAAATATTTTAAAAAATTCACCAGGAGTGGTTGTGGGGCGCGGTGTCAACGCCATTACAAGATGGCCCCTGTTTCCGGCTTTGCCTAGAGCAGTAAACAAGTTCAGCGCACGCGCAATTGTCGGTTACCCTGTGGCGCAAGCATGCAAATGAAGGATCCTACTATGGACCAATGCTTTGGCGGCTCGACAGCTGAGCGGCCTATCCCAGCTTAGGGGTTGTGCTTCTAGGGTACATAGCAGCCTGCGTGCTGCCGGGCTGGGTCTTCCGCATCATGTAAGTCTAAAGGGAACCCCATTAAAGCACTGTCAGAAGAACTCCAGTTGCCGCGTCTTCCTTGCTGGCGAGGCGGGCGCGACAAGTGGTGGCACTTGCCTGTAGTCCTACGTACTTGGAAGGCTGAG